TCCCACCGTGAAGCATGGAGGACAAGGTGTGATAGTGTGGGGGTGATTTGCTGGTGACACGGTCAGTGATTTATTTAGAATTCAAGGCACACTTAACCAGCATGGCTACCACAGCATTCTGCAGCGATACGCTGGGACTATCATTTGTTTTTCAACAGGACAATGACCCAACACACCTCCAGGCTGTGTAAGGGCTATTTTATCAAGAAGGAGAGTGATGGAGTGCTGCATCAGATGACCTGGCCTCCACAATCACTTGACCTCAACTCAATTGAGATGATTTGGGAAGAGTTGGACCGCAGAGTGAAGGAAAAGCAGCCAACAGCATACGTGGGAACTCCTTCAAGACTGTTGAAAAAGCATTCCTCATGAAGCTGGTTGAGAGAATGCCAAGAGTGTGCAAAGCTGTCATCAAGGCAAAGGGTGGCTACTTTGAAGAATCTGAACTATAACATATATTTTGATTTGTTTAACACTTTTTTGGTTACTACATGATTCCATGTGTTATTTCATAGTTTTGATGTTGTCACTATTATTCTACAATGTAGAAAATAGTACAATTAAGAAAAACCCTTGAATGAGTAGGTGTCCAAACTTTTGACTAGTACTGTATATAAACTCTTTATATAAAGGACCCTGTCTTTCAAAGATAATTCGTAAAATTCCAAATAACTTCACAGATCTTCATTGTAAAGGGTTTAAACACTGTTTCCTATGCTTGTTCAATGAACCATAAACAATTCATGAACATGCACCTGTGGAATGGTCGTTAAGACACTAACAGCTTACAGACGGTAGGCAATTAAGGTCACAGTTACGAAAACTTAGGACACTAAAGTGGCCTTTCTACTGACTCTGAAAAACACCAAAGGAAATATGCCCAGGGTCCCTACTAATCTGCGTTCACGTGCCATAGGCATGCTGCAAAGAGGCATGAGGACTGCAGATGTGGCCAGGGCAATAAATTGCAATGTCCGTACTGTGAGACGCCTAAGACAGCTACAGGGAGACAGGACTGACAGCTGATCGTCCTCGCAGTGGCAGACCACGTGTAACAAAACCTGCACAGGATCGGTACATCCGAACATCACACCAGCAGGACAGGTACAGGATGGCAACAACAACTGCCCGAGTTACACCAGGAACGCACAATCCCTCCATCAGTGCTCAGACTGTCCTCACCTGACATCATCGGCAACAACGTCGCCTATGGGCACAAACCCACCGTCGCTGGACCAGACAGGACTGGCAAAAAGTGCTCTTCACTGACGAGTCGCGGTTTTGTCTCACCAGGGGTGATGGTTGGATTCGCGTTTATCGTCGAAGGAATGAGCGTTACACCGAGGCCTGTACTCTGGAGCGGGATCGATTTGGAGGTGGAGGGTCCGTCATGGTCTGGGGCGGTGTGTCACAGCATCATCGGACTGAGCTTGTTGTCATTGCAGCCAATCTCAACGCTGTGCGTTACAGGGAAGACATCCTCCTCCCTCATGTGGTACCCTTCCTGCAGGCTCATCCTGACATGACCCTCCAGCATGACAATGCCACCAGCCATACTGCTCATTCTGTGCATGATTTCCTGCAAAACAGGAATGTCAGTGTTTTGCCATGGCCAGCGAAGAGCCCGGATCTCAATCCCATTGAGCACGTCTGGGACCTGTTGGATCAGAGGGTGAGGGCTAGGGCCATCCCCCCCAGTCTGGGAACTTGCAGGTGCCTTGGTGGAAGAGTGGGGTAACATCTCACAGCAAGAACTGGCAAATCTGGTGCAGTCCATGAGGATGAGATGCACTGCAGTACTTAATGCAGTTGGTGGCCACACCAGATACTGACTGTTACTTTTGATTTTGACCCCCCCTTTGTTCAGGGACACATTATTCCATTTCTGTTAGTCACATGTATGTGGAACTTGTTCAGTTTGTCTCAAGTTGTTGAATCTTGTTATGTTCATACAAATATTTACACATGTTAAGTTTGCTGAAAATAAACGCAATTGACAGTGAGAGGACGTTTCTTTTTTGCTGAGTTTATATATATATATTCAGCTTCAACATTGCAGACAGATTGTAGCTTCCATCAATGTAATTGCAGATCAACTTTAGTGACGTTTTTAGTTAAGCCTTTGTGTATAGTTAGCTAGCTACTCATCTCTATGGCTCTAAATACCCACCATCACACATCACCGTGCTCAACAATGTGCACTACTTATTCATCATCAACTTTGGTTATATCAAAGCTTTTTGGTCATTTCAAAGTTGTTCTTCTGAGAAAACATGTATCTTTATTTTACATATCATAAACCCTTTCATATATTCACAATTGAGAGCATTTATTCTCTCCAAAGACTAATGATTTGTAGGTCAAGATAATCCAGGTGCCCACTCTCTAAAGCGGTGCCAGCCTGTGTTGGCAGGTTGGCACCAGGAAGAGCCAGGACAACACACAGGGCATTGGTCCTGCTCCTGAAGAGGGAGCACTGTGGTGGAGGAGAAGCAGCATGGGGAGATAGACTTGGCACGGTCGTCTGTTAATGACTCATTTTGCAAACATTAACTGCTGAACGTCTGTTTTCCTACACTGAGGTCTGGAGCAATTACACCAGAGTACCATTCATCACACACTTCACCCTGAACTGTGAAATTCCACAGCAGGTCCACGGAGGTCCGCCATCAGGGCCTTCTGCTCTGCTATGGAAGGAAGGAATAAAGAACATGCAGCAGAGTAGTGGGACAATGCTATTGCAACACTTCACATTGGGCCTTTCCAGTGGGCCTGCTGCATTGGCTGAAGGACAGATTGCCTAAAAGACCATGGCAACAGTCCAACAGACTCCTCTTAACAGCTACTTATAAAAGAGCAGTTTACATTCCTCACAAATACATGTATAAAAGGTGCCCTGCAGGAATTTCTAATGAAAATAATAATCCCTGTATGCACTTTGTTCCACAGGGCCATGTTCTTCAGCCGATCCATTAAGAATGGTTGCTCTCTCTACAGGCAGAACATTCACAGAGACAGTTTGGGTTTGGCGTGACTGAGACTGAGGTGTCTGTTGAAAACCACCAAGTTGAGACATCGTCATTAAGAGTTCGCAAACAGTTTTGCAGTTTGACACTTGTTGTTGAAAATGGTTGCGATCTTAATGGGGGAAATTATGCTCTTTGTCATATGCAATAATTTACACAAGGCGGACAGATGTGCTTGATTGAGGCGAATAGATTCATGACATATGTAGTACTCTTGAAATTCATTGGGACAAAAACCCTGTGTTGCCTGCCAGTACATTTTTATGAATTCTGCGATGTTTGAAACCCATAACAGAGTGGCGTGATACTGTACAGAGAATCATATGGTAGATGGGAACTGCACAGCATGAGAGTAAATACAAATTGCTGTGGGACAATGACATGGTCTCAATAATTTTCATAACAGCATGGGGTGAATCAGGAAGAATATAATTTCAGTCTTGGAAAGCAAGAGCAGCCATATTTCAATTCAATCACATGCCACATATCTATCCATCATTAGATTAAAGAAATTGCTCTCACACACTCACTATTCAAATACTTATAGATTTCACCCTTTGAGCAGTTTGACAGTATTCTTCCACAGATTGCTCCAGAGTAATTTGGTAAGCAATACAGAACGGCCATGAATCCATGAGGCATATGCAATCTGTTGTACACATCCTGTGTGACATGACTGTCTTCAAACTCACCATAGTACTGTAGATTTTATCTGCCCAGGCTCCTGTCTTCAAAGATGGTTACTTCAACCTTGATGACGTTTAGTTAAAGAACAAAGTTCGGAGGCAATGCAAAATTCCTCTAAAATGTACATCTACAGACACATACTGCTATGTGTAAAGCACTTGGGCAGCAATAGTCAAGACAACAAATCAGACACTCGAAAATGCAGACATTACTTTGTTCGGGTGCATTGAGAAGATATGGGAGGAAAAAAAGGGCAGGTGTGACATTCCTGTCAATCTCCAGTCTTCTATCACAGCCGCTCCCAGGCTGTGCTGGAGAAATAATCCAGGAGGTCACCAGAAAACCAAGGTCTGCTTTCCTAATGGCACCCTATTCCCTATATAGTGCACTACATTTGACCAGAGTCCCATTTGGGATGCAGACAATGAAATCATACAGGAGGAGGTCCTCAGCTACAAACAATTTCAGTAATATTTCACCGCCTGCTCCAGCCCTCAGTACAATTCATTTGGATGTTGAGTCAGCCACACACTTGGAGAACGGTGACCATTTCTGCACCCTCTGATTTTGCGCAGATGAAATTGATTAAAAATAACTTTTATTTGGTATTATTATAGGGTACCACTGGGTTTCCTGTGAGCTGCCCAGACTCCTGGTTTCCATTTACAGGAAGGGGTTCTAGAGGGGAGCACACCACACAGAACCCTGGGTATGCATCCCAAATGATGCCCTATTCCCTATGGGGTTCTGGTCAAAAGCAGTGCACTGTAAAGGGAATAGTGTGCCATTTGTGGCGCAACTGTGGAAACACCACATACCAACTCGGTCACACATCAGCAGCAGGTCACTGTGAGACTTCATTGTTCTAGCTAGTACTGCACAGCACACATCAACATGGAGCTAGCCCAGCCCAGCCCTGACTTCAATATATATCAGCCTGCATGACGAAACCCATTGTGTTGTTACTGTAATACAAGCAGCTGGTATTTTGGTGATTACATTTGTAAGGTAACCACATTCTTACAGAATTAATGAAGGCCTAAGAAACGCATACAGGAAATATCACTGAAAAAAAGCACAATACTTACTTTCTGACCATCTAATTCTAAATATATATATATATATATTGGCCACCCAAATCATAGAGTACCTTGTTTACCCCATGTGCGTAGCACATATTGAGGCTGTGTTCCAAAGGCACACTATTCCCAATTACAAAGTAGTGCCCTTCAAAGGGTGCCATTTGGGACCAATTCTGAGTTTCCTTTCAGAAATAGACATGTTGCTTTAATGGCTATCAAACTGCTTTGTGAAGAAGGATACAACTCTGAGGCCTCTCTCAATAGGGTCAGTGAGGAGCAGACCTCGTGGAGCATAGATCTTATCATTCTGCTCCTGGATGAATTTAGCAATCTTCTTCAAAACCTGAAAAGAGACAATAAGAAAAAAAACATTTTCAGTTTTCCAACTTTCCTTGTCATACATAGTTTTAGTTAGAATAGGACATGATTATAATTTATTACATCAAATTTACTTTTAACCTAGAACATTTCCTTTCACCAAGCAAGGCATAGCCTACCGGTAGACAGTCATCTCTCAACGTTAACTTAAATTTTTTTTTTTTTTTACAAACATTAATTCATACAGTGCCTTCGGAAAGTATTCAGACCCCCACATTTTGTTATGTTACAGCCTTATTCTAAAATGGATTAAATTGTTTTCTTCCCTCATCAATTTACACACAATACCCCATAATGACAAAGCGAAAACAGGTTTTTAGAAATTTTTGCAAATTCATGTTCTAAGTGGGCTGGATGAGCCACCCCTGGTCTTTGCTAGGGCATCTGTAGCCAATATTTTGGGTGTGCTCAGTTGAGAAGTAATTTAAAACTTGACTTCCATCTTCATGAGCACTCATTAAATATAAATCAAGCCAGTGGTTATCATCATCCCATATCTACCCTGTCTGTTCTAATAGAAATCCAGGTGAAATTGGAAGACCAATGACACACTTATTTTTTGTACATACAGTACTCCAACTTTTCTATGGTACAGTATGAGAATTATATGAATAACACCAAATGGAAAGCTTTTATTGGGCCTTTTTGGGAAATAGGCTGTGCTGTGTATAGGCGTATGTAACCAGCTGTCTGATATACAATGCATTCGGAAAGAATTCAGACCTCTTCCCCTTTTCCACATTTTGTTTTACGTTACAGCCTTATTCTAAATAAAATAAATCCTCAATCTACACACTAGTGGTCAAAAGGTTTTTGGCGCTCCAAAAATTTCTGCAGCATTGAAGGTCCCCAAGAACACAGTGGCCTCAATCATTCTTAAATGGAAGAAGTTTGGAACCACCAAGACACTTCTTAGAGCTGGCCATCCGGCCGAATTGAGCAATCGGGGGAGAAGGGCTTTGGCACCATCCCTACGGTGAAGCATGGTGGTGGCAGCATCATGCTGTGGGGATGTTTTTCAGCAGCAGGGACTGCGAGACTAGTCAGGATCGAGGGAAAGATTAACGGAGCAAAGTACAGAGAGATCCTTGATGAAAACCTGCTCCAGAGTGCTCAGGACCTCAGGCTGGGGTGAAGGTTCACCTTCCAACAGGACAACGACCCTAAGCACACAGCCAAGACAATGCAGGAGTGGCTTCGGGACAAGTCTCTGAATGTCCTTGAGTGGCCCAGCCAGAGCCCGGACTTGAACCCGATCGAACATCTCTGGAGAGACCTGAAAATACCTGTGCAGCGACGCTCCCCATCCAACCTGACAGAGCTTGAGAGGATCTGCAGAGAAGAATGGGAGAAACTCCCCAAATACAGGTGTGTCAAGCTTGTAGCGTCATACCCAAGAAGACTCGCGGCTGTAATCGCTGCCAAAGGTGCTTCAACAAAGTACTGAGTAAAGGGTCTGAATACTTTTGCAGAAACATCTAAAAACCTGTTTTTGCTTTGTCATTATGGGGTATTGATGAGGGGAAAAAAATATTTAATCCATTTTAAGAATAAGGCTGTAACGTAACAAAATGTGGAAAAAGTCAAGGGGTCTGAATACTTTCCGAATGCACTGTACATAACACAAGTTCCCAAAGGTTGCTTTCCAATAATCTGTCCTTTATCCCGAAGTGTGCACTTGTTCCCTTCCCTTCATGGATTTGAAAGAAAATGACTGGCATAAAGAAACTCCCTCAAGCTAACCCATGCCTACACCAATCTAATGATTTTACATTTGTGGGGATAGGTGAAAGAGTGCACACTTCAGTGTTAATTTTGTCAGCTATTTTAGTCTTAAAATATATTTTAGTCTTAGTCACATTTTAGGAATTTCATCCTTTGTTAGTTTTTGTTGTCAGTCGACTAAAACTGTCGAAAAATGTTGTCTAGTTTTAGTCACAGCCATTTTAGTCACATAATAGTCAGTGCATTTTTTCTATTAAATAATGAATATCTAGGCAACCTCTAACTTCAATCATCTGCACATTCAGATAGTCCAACTAGGCCTAATATCCCCACGTATACCCTAGCTGGCAACATTGATATTGTGGCAGATTGTAACCAATGCCAGCCATAATTAACCATATTGGCTACATGTTAAACAATTTACAGCTCAGATTTTCTCCCTATTATAACCGTCAAGGGGGTAAATAACAGTGGTTTCCTTGAAAATGGGAGAATTTGAGCTTTGCAAAAATGCCAGAAGTATTACTGTACTCCAAAAATGTAACAAATTGCATTTGTTTTTCCCATAGGAAAAAAGCAACTGCAACTCGTATCTGCGGACCACGGCGAAAAAGCGGCAACACAGATGAATGAATAACAGAGCACATGGGAAAATAGAGCTTCTAATGTGATCAAAGCAAAAATGGCCTATATGAAAGCCTCACATTTCCGTTGACTAAAATGAAAAGTAATTTGTAATCGTTTTTTTCCCAGGGCATCTCGTCTCGTTATCATTATAGTTTTAATCTGGAAAAATAGGTCATTGACGAGTATTTTTCGTCATAGTTATTGTTGACGAAATTAACACTGGCACAATTCAGGAGAAAGGAGAGATTAATGGGACATAACCCGTATTTCTTATTGGGTTGCACGGCAAGGCACTGGAGTGACGAACCGCTGGCTCCCCTCTCTCCACTGGGATTCTCTGCCGCTGACCCTATTACGGGGGCTGAGTCACTGGCTTACTAGTGCTCTTCCAGGCCGTCCCTAGGAGGGGTGCGTCACATCGTGCAAGGCTTTTTTCACTCTACTCGCCTTGAGTGGGTTGAGTCACTGACGTGATCTTCCTGTCCAGATTGTGCCCCCTCGGACTTGTGCGGTGGAGGAGATCTTCGTGGGCTATACTCAGCCTTGTCTCAGGGTAGTAAGTTGGTGCACTGTTGATATCCCTCTAGCGGTGTGGGGGCTGTGCTTTGGCAAAGGGGCGGGGTTATATCCTGCCTGGTTGGCCATGTCCACAGTGTCCCCTGACCCCTCCTGTCTCAGCCTCCAGTATCTATGCTGCAATAGTCTATGTGCTGGGGGGCAAGGGTCAGTCTGGGGGGCTAGGGTCAGTCTGTCCTATCTGGTGAAATTCTCCTGTCTTATCTGGTGTCCTGTGTTAACTTAAGTGTGCTCTCCCTCTCTCTGCTGATCCAGTTTCTGCTGTTTTGCATGTGGCTATGGAACCCTGACCTGTTCACCAGACGTGCTAACGTGCTACCTTGTAATGCTGCTACTCCAGTTTCAACTGTTCTGCCTGAGGCTATGGAACCCTGACCTGTTCACGGGACGTGCTACCTTGTCCAGGACCTGCTGTTTTCGACCCTCTCTCTCTCCCTCTCCCTCCCTCTCGCTCTCCCTACCGCACCTGCTGTCTCGACCTCCGAATGCTCGGCTATGAAAAGCCAACTGGCATTTACTCCTGAGGTGCTGACCTATTGCACCCTCTACAACCACTGTGATTATTATTTGACCCTGCTGGTCATCTATGAACGTGTGAATATCTTGAAGAACGGTCTGGCTTTAATGGCCATGTACTCTTATAATCTCCACCCGGCACAGCCAGAAGAAGACTGGCCACTCCTCAGAGCCTGGTTTCTCTCTAGGTTTCTTCCTAGGTTCCTGCCTTTCTAGGGCGATTTCCCTAGCCACCGTGCTTCTACATCTGCATTGCTTGCTGTTTGGGGTTTTAGGCTGGGTTTCTGTATAAGCAATTTGTGACATCAGCTGATGTAAAAAGGGCTTTATAAATATATTTGATTTGATATGACTCCCTCGAGGAGCCTAAGTCAATGCATCACAGGAATAAATACATTCCTATATGGTTGTATGTGCCAACTGGTAGAGCTGGATCTGAAAAAGGCTTTTGTGTAGTAATAGTATACTCACTCTAAATGTTAAATCACATATCAGATTATGTCTATATCTGCTTGTATGGGTACTACTGTTAGAGCTGTACTGCTCTCTGCCATTAATTATATTCATATCAATACCTCACATCTCATTTCAACTTCCATGAAATGTGATCACTGTACTGGTTTGGGTTCCCATTTCCTACTTATTCTCTTCTGATTCCGGGAATCTTCCAACCAGGATTTTTGGAAAACCTGGGAATTTTGGGAAAGTTACCAGAATTTTGCAACCCTAGTTGTGTGGATTAGTTAAGGTCTCTCACCTTCTCGTAGTGTGTCTCCATACAGAGGAATATAGTGTAAGCTGTGAGGCAGGCCAGACAGCCCTCCAGATACGACGAGCCTCCCAGCTTCTCTGCCTCAGCATACAGGTTGTTCAACATCCTCACCGTCTCCTCAAACTGCTGCTTATCAATCTGAAACACACAACCAATCAAGTTGCATCTCAAATAGCACCATATTCCCTATATAGTGCACTACATTTGACCAGGGCTCATAAGGCTCTGGTCAAAAGTTGTGTACTTTATAGAGGGAATAGGGTGCCATTTGGAAAGCAACCCAAGTAAAATCAAAAACTGTCTCTTTGAAGATAATACACAAGGTGAGATCTAAGGGAAGGCAATCAAGATAGAAAAATACATCACAGTTACTATTTTAGATGAGTAAATGGAGTGTTAGATATTTAACATATGGCAAGTTAAAATTATCTGTTACTTTCATCCTCGGTATAAATGAGTGGGTTGATTCGAATCGTGTTTTTAAAAATCAGAGAATGCAGCATCTCTCTCCACTATTGGCAAAATAATTAGGATGCCTTGGCTGTGTGCTCACCGCATGTTTTCACTTTATACCACAGCAGGACACACCAAAACCTCTAGTGAGGAATCTGACTGTCTCTCCTTATCTACTGGCAGAGACTAGCTAGGAGAGACAGTCAGATTCCTCACTAAAGGTTTTGGTGTGTCCTGCTGTTTCCATCAAACTGGTGATGATAGGTTTAGTGTTGCTGATATGAGAGATGCAATGTGGCTCTGACAGAGTAGAAGCAATTACACTCCCTAATTACGGACAGAGTGGAATTAAGAGCTGGCTAACACTAACATTCACTCATCACGTCAGGTCAGGCCTGCTCCACTGAGGGGAGGCCAAGGGCTGTTGGACCACTGGAAGTAGTGAAGGGTGTTTTGACTGAGTGTTGGCGCGAGTCTCCACTCTGGGCTCCTGAGCAGGCCTAATGGAGACGGTGAGATTGCATCCCAAATGGCACCCTATCCCCTATACAGTGTACTACTTTTGACCAGGGCCCATAGAGCTCTTGTCAAAAGTAGTGAACTTTATAGGGAATAGGGTGCCATTTGGGATACAGCCTGAGAGAGTGGACTGGAGAGTGGCCTCCAGACCAGACCAGATGAGGGGAGCAGCCAGGCCCTCTGGGCCTCTGAACAGCCTCCAAGTTATGCTCCCATGTGCCCAAGGAATGTAACAACAAGCTCCAACAGATCAGTGGTCTTAGGCATGTTTGGTGCCTGCCGTGAGGAGTCTTTGTTCACCCTCGAATTTCCCATCTAAAGGCTGGGATTCAAACCACATTTCTCCTTCGTCTGAACATCTTTCCATTACGTTAGATGCTGTGATTTGAAAAGTGTTGATGTGCACTTTAGGAAGCGTGTGCTACGGTAGTAGTATTAGACGATAGATGGATCGTTCCATGTCATTTCGTCAACCCATTACACCCACTATCTCAGATTGTTCTGAAATGGTTTCTGTAGTTAAAATAATATTGCAGGAATGTTTCTAAATAAGCTAATTGATTGCACCCAAATTGGCCATTTCAATTTATGGATTCATATAATATTCAATAAATAGTATAGTACCCAACATTTGATTTGGACCAAACAATGATTAAGATTCAAGGAATCCAAATAAATGATCAAAAGCCACAGGTCACCCAAACCCCACACCAAGCCCACCCCAATGGCCAGTATCATTTCTCTATGTTTGACAAGTAGTATAAAGCTGCGGCTTGGAGTATTGTTTATTGATACTATGTAATATATACTCAGTGAATTTGGTGATGTTTTTTCCCCCTGTTCAGAGAAATTAGCCATTGAAGTAGCTTACATTTCCCCCCATGAATTAGTGTGAAAGTACCAGGCTTTGCCCAGAAGATATCACTGTTCCTGCTACTGCCACACCCTTTTATCCATTTTGCTGGTCTCTTGTGTTTATCAAATGGATCACACAATTTTCTTTGCAACTTTGGGTAGAATACCAATAGCTTTTGCTCATGATGAAAATACATTATGTGGTCATCCTCACAAGTCAAGTCAGTCTTCCATGAAAGCAATTTAGTTTGTCCTTCTCTTAGCAACCTAATGCTTTAAATCGAGCTCTCCTTGAATAATTCAACAAGTGGTAGCTCTCTGAAAGGGCTATCCCTATGGTGCAATTCTCATATGAAGCCCACAACTTTCCTAGAGAAATGGGCTAGTGACTAAAATGTTGTGACTACCCTAATACAAAAATACAATTATAAACAATTGCATGGCAGTCTTACGTTTTTTTTTATATATGTTGTGTGATTAGTGACATTTAACATTAAACCCAACACCATTACAAAACACTATACAGTGTGTGTTTCTGACTTTTACCAATGAAGACCCTTACAGACCATAACATTGAAACCATTAGAACTGCTGTAGTCTAATGGTTTGCTTGTTCACCAGGAATGGTCTAACTCAGGGATGGGCAACTTTGATAGAGGGGGCCACAAAAAAATCTGAACTTAACATGAGGGGCCGCAGTTTTACAGCTAATTTCCTTCAATTCAACATTTTTGCCATAGGGTCGAGAAAAATGTTTGCAGTTTTTAATATGATATCTGAGTGAGAGAGACTAACAAAATCGATCGGTAATTAGACCATGATTACTAGAAGTTTAGATAACTGGCCGCTAAACTAATTTACCAATAACTAAATAAAAACGTTGACATGGGCTAATTGAGTGACTGTCAGTGACTGACATAAGAGAAAAACTGCTGATGCACAACCAAATTTCTAAATTGTACCTTGTGCATTCTATTATTCTAATGCTCAACAATTGATCCGCGGGCCGCCAGTCGCCCATCCCTGGTCTAACTAATCCAGACTTTTTCCGAAGGAGAATAAACCACACACACAGGGGCCGTTTCCTGGATACAGATAAAGCCGAAGAGAAGGATAAACTGAATTGCTTTCATTGTGGACTGGCTTGAATTGTGAGGATGACCACACAATTTATTTTCATCATGAACAGAAGCTTTTGGTTTTCTACCCAAAGTTGCAAAGAAAATGTTGTGATTCATTTGATAAAAGGGAACAGCAAAATATACTGAACAAAAGTATAAACGCAACATGCTACAATTTCAAAAGATTTTACTGAGTTACAGTTCATATAAGGAAATCAGTCAATTGAAAAAAATTCATTAGGCCCTAATGTTATGGACTTCACATGACTGGGACTACAGATATGCATCTGTTGGTTTCAGATATGCATTTGTTGGTCACATATTGGCGGGAAATGGAACACGCTGTCGTACACGTCGATCCAGAACATCCCAAACATGCTCAATGGGTGACATGTCTGGTGAGTATGCAGGCCATGGAAGAACTGGGACATTTTCAGCTTCCAGGAATTGTGTACAGATCCTTGCGATATAGGGCTGTGCACGATCATGCTCAAACATGATGGGATGGCGGTGGATAAATTGCATGACAATGGGCCTCAGGATCTCGTCACTGTATCTCTGTGCATTCAAATTGCCATCGATAAAATGCAATTGTGTTCGTTGTCCGTAGCTTATGCCTGCCCATACCATAACCCCACCGCCACCATGCGGCACTCTGTTGACATCAGCAAACTGCTCTCCCACACAACACCATACACGCTATGCAGTCTGCAATCTGCCCAGTACAGTTGAAACCAGGATTAATCTGTGAAGAACACACTTCTCCAGCATGCCAGTAGCCATCGAAGGTGAGCATTTGCCCACTGAAGTTGGTTATGACGCCGAACTGCAGTCAGGTCAAGACCCTGGTGATGACGACGAGCATGCAGATGAGCTTCCCTGAGATGGTTTCTGACAGTTGTGCAGAAGTTCTTCGGTTGTGCAAACCCACAGTTTCATCAGCTGTCCAGGTGGCTGGTCTCAGACGATCCCGCAGGTGAAGAAGCCGGATGTGGAGGTCCTGGGCTGGCGTGGTTACACGTGGTCTGCGGTTGTGAAGCCAGTTGGATGTACTGCCAAATTCTCTAAAACGACACTGAGGCAGCTTATGGTAAAGAAATTAACATTCAATTCTCTGGCAACAGCTCTGGTGGACATTCCTGCAGTCAGTATGCCAACTGTACACTCCCTCAAAACTTGAGACATCTGTGGCATTGTGTTGTGTGACAAACATTTTTTTTGTCCCCAGAACAAGGTGCATGCTTTTTAATCAGCTTCTTGATATGCCACCCCTGTCAGGTGGATGGATTATCTTGGCGAAGGAGAAATGCTTACTAACATCGATGTAAACAAATTTGTGCACAAAATGTGAGAAATAAGCTTTTTGTGCGTATGGAACATTTCTGGGATCTTTTATTTCAGGTCACGAAACACAGGACCAATGCTTAACATGTTGTGTTTATATTTTTGATCAGTGTAGATAAAAGGGTGTGGCAATAGCAGGAACAGCGGCATCTAGTGGGGGCAAAACCTGGTACTTTCACACTTATTTATGGGGGGAAATGAAAGCTACTTCAATGGCTCATTTTTCTGAACAGGGGAAAAAAAACATCACAAAATTCACTAAGAATACATTACATAGTATGAATAAACAATCCTCCAAGCCGCAGCTTCATACTACTTGTCAAACCATATAGAAATGATATTGTATACTGGGCGTTGGGGTTGGCTTGGTGTGGGGTCCATCAGTGGCTTACTCATTGTTAGGAATAAGTTTTGTCCAAATCGTATGTTACATGCTGACCACACCGCTCGCGCACATGTTGATTTTGTCCACCCACACCAGACGTGAACAGGACACACAGGTTGAAATATCAAAACGAACTCTGAACCAACTATATTAATCTGGGGACAGGTTCGAAAAGCATTTAACATTTATGCCAATTTAGCTAGCTAGCTTGCTGTTGCTAACTAATTTGTCCTGGGATATAAACATTGGGTTGTTATTTTAATCCAATTAATCCACAGATAAAAGGGTAAACCGAGTTTGTTTCTACTAATCTCTCCTCCTTCAGGCTTCTTCTTCTTCTTCTTTGGACTTTATATGGCGGTTAGCAACCAACTTTAAGGTGTTTTACCACCACCATCTGGACTGGAGTGTGGACCTCAGTTCATCTTTCAATCATCCACGTGGGTATATGGTCCTACAAAACAATGAGGAGATGGGAGAGGCGGGACTTGCAGTGCATCAAGCGTTACAAATAGTTCTACTACTATAGCGCCTGGCTACGCAGACGCTCATTGACGCGCGCGAGCAGTGTGGGTGCAATGATTGAATAACATGCATGTGTACATTTATTTTGCAACGCTCGTGCAGGCGACGTGGGCGGTGTGGTCAGCATGTTAGGTACTATATTTATTTAATATTATGTGAATCCTATAATTAAAAATGGCCAATTTGGGTGGAATCAATTAGCTTAATTTCTCAGAGATCTAATTATTATTCAACAAAATAATGTTGCAGGAAGGATAATTTTATCTGTTTCTAACTACAGAAACGATTTCAGAAAATTCTGAGATGGTGGCTGTCGAAACCTCTTTCTTGTGCTTTTTGAGGTGGAACGACCCAGATAACACCTTAAACACCTTATTTAGCCTACTTTGTGTCAAGCGATCTAAGGTCAACATGTGAGAAAATTTGACAGAATTATCAATTTGTTTCACTGTCCCTGGCTGGTCTGGCTAGCTATCTGCCAAATACACTGAACACTTTTCCAGACATTCTCTTCTACCTAAACTTAAGAAAAGAACATGTAATAATGTACAATAATAACTAAATAACCTTAAATAGAGGTGAAAATCATCAACAGAATGTGCTGCCCCATGATCTATTCCAGCAAAAGAGCAACATGAATCCAAAGTTGAATAAAATTAAGTATTTATAAATGAGGTATTTTGTCACTCCTGAGATTTGTAAAAATAAATAAAATAAAATCTTGACAAGGTGAAATAAATATGACTGTATAAAAAAGAACAAGCTCACTTAAAAAGTTTGGCAGTACATTGCCTATGATATACTATGCTAGCAAGGGGATGGGAGAAATGTTGGAAAGGTTTTTTATGATGAGGCACTGTAGCTGTGGATAGACTCCCTGAGGAGTAGCATGCTGTATTTCTTCAGCAGTGGTATGTGTAGTACATCCTACAGGAAAACAAGTGTGCCAAAGAGAGACCACCCAATCAAGAGGGAAGTGCCATTAAACCACAAAGCTGTTGTAAAGTCACTCTTTTCATGTGGCATGCATGTCAACCCCAAAAAGTCCTGTGAACTCTGCTCTAACCATTTACTTAGCAGTACATTTTTTTATGTTGGCATGGAACAGGAGTCTGTTTTCCTCATGGACCTGCTCTCAAGCGTGACAGTTCAAATGAGGATAAAGACTAGATCACTTGACGTTTTCTGCTCCTAGCCTTCTACTAACCCCATACGGCTCTAACTAAAAGGAGATGAGAGATACAGTGCATTCGGAAAGTATTCAGGAATGTCCTCTTCAATCTACACACAATAGCCCATAATGACAAAGCGAAGACAGGTTTGTATTAAAAATAAGAAACAGAAATATCTTATTTGCATAAGAGACTTGAAATTGAGCTCAGGTGCATCCTGTTTCCATTGATCATCCTTGAGATGTTTCTACAACTTGATTAGAGTCCACCTGTGGTAAATTCAATTGATTGGACATGATTTGGGGCCCCGTGTAGCTCAGTTGGTAGAGCATGGCGTTTGCAACGCCAGGGTTGTGGGTTCTATTCTCACAGGGGGCCAGTATGAAAAATGTATGCACTCACTAACTGTAAGTCGCTCTGGATAAGAGCGTCTGCTAAATTACTAAAATGTAACATTTGGAAAGGTCCCACAGTTGACAGTGCATGTCAGAGCAAAAACCAAGCCATGAGGTCGAATGGAATTGTCAGTAGAGCTCCGAGACAGGATTTTGTCGAGGCACAGATCTGTGAAAGGGTACCAAAAAATTCAGCAGCATTGAAGGTCCCCAAGAACACAGTGTTCTCCCATCATTCTTAAATGGAAGAAGTTTGGAACCACCAACACTCTTCCTAGAGCTGGCCGCATGGGGGAGAAGGGCCTTGGTCAGGAAGGTGACCAAGAACCCGATGGAACTCCAGAGTTCCTCTGTGGAGATGCGAGAACCTTCCAGAAGGACAATCATTTCTGCAGCACTCCACCAATCAGGCCTTTATGGTAGAGTGGCCAGATGGAAGCCACACCTCAGTAAAAGGCACAAGACAGCCCGCTTGGAGTTTGCCAAAAGGCACCTAAAGGACTCTCAGACCATGAGAATCAAGATTCTCTGGTCTGATGAAACCAAGACTGAAATCTTTGGCCTGAACTCTTAGGCCTGAATGCCAAGCATCACATCTGGAGGAAACCTGGCACCATCCCTACGGTGAAGCATGGTGGTGGCAGCATCATGTTGTGGGGATGTTTTTCAGCAGCAGGGACTGGGAGACTAGTCAGGATCGAGGGAAAGATGAACAGAGCAAAGTACAGAGATCCTTGATGAAAACCTGCTCAGGACCTCAGACTGGGGCAAGGTTCACCTTCCAACAGGACAACGACCCTAAGCACACAGCCAAGACAACACAGGAGTAGCTTCGGGACAAGTCTCTGACTGTCCTTGAGAGGCCCAGCCAGAGCCCGGACTTGAACCCGATCGAACATCTCTGGAGAGACCTGAAAATAGCTGTACAGCGACGCTCCCTATCCAACCTGACAGAGCTTGAGAGGATCTGCAGAGAAAAATGAGAGAAACTCCCCAAATACAGGTGTGGAAAAAGTCATGGGGTCTGAATACTTTCCGAATGCACCGTATATCTGGAGGAGCTGGACACGGGAAAGAAACATGTTATACGTCCAGGGCTCTATGCTGACCTTTTTTTTTTTTACAAGGAGCACGTGTGTGCCTATGTTGAAAAATGTAGGCGCACACAAAGACATTTAGGAGCACAATTAAGTATTGAAGCTAGAATTCTTAGAATCCTTACTTCTTCTAGGTGCATTGGTGCTCCTAAATAAAAATGCCAGGTCGCACAGCAAAATATTTAGGCGCATATGCAAGTAAAATGGTCGCACTTTAGAGCCCTGACGTCTGTCTGATCCATCAAATAGATCTTGCAAGAAGGCTTTGCAGATCAGGGGGAGTGCTGATCTAGGATCAGGTCCTGCCTGTCCATGCAATCTTATTCATTGTTATCTAAAAGGCCAAACTGATCCTAAAATCAGCACTCCTACTCTGAGACACTATGCATATTGGCTCAGATCACAGTGTTATCAGAGTGCTTTAGCGTACCCTGGTCTCCAGTTCAGAAGGGAACTTGGTCTGGAACTGGCAGACAGTGCCGTTGGTGTAGTCTCTCTGGATGAAGACTTTGGCAGCGATAGCCGCCTGCTGCCTCATATCCTGCAAGCTGTGAGTCTGGAAGGAAGGAGAGGGCAAATGGGCTTTAGGCTAGTTGAAGAGCTCAGTGAGGATTTAACAAAAAATTTATTCATGTTTAGGCCTAGATTCATGACAGTCTAGATGAGCAATTTGAATTTAGCCTATTAGCCAAATCTATTCAACATCTGTTGGCATGAAGTAGCTGGAACAAACTACCATATCAACAAGCATCATTTATTTGATTAACTGACAGCCCTATTCTGTCACGTTTACCCCTACCTACATGTACATATTAACTCAATTACCTCGTACCCCTGCATATTGACTTGGTACCGGTACTCCTTGTATATAGCCTCATTATTGTTATTTTATTGTGTTGCTATTTCCTTTTTTGTTATTAGCTTTTTTATTTTATTTTATTTTTTACTCTGAAAAGGGCTCGTAAGTAAGCATTTCACGGTAAAGTCTACACCGGTTGTATTCGCCGCATGTGACAAATACAATTTGATTTGTATACAAAATAAAATGGTAGCCATTTTTTGCAGACTGAAAAACAGATTGCAGTTTTTTGTTGCAAAGATTACAATGCAGTATGGAGTGGACTATGGCTCCCTGCAGCTTGTTTTATCTTGGACAGGAACACTGATAGATAATGAATGCTAACAAATGGAGCACTGTTGAAAACAAAATGTGTAACCTATTAATCACGAATTAGACTAGGCTATGCTTAAACACCAGTATAAGGAAACAAAGGACATGGAACACTGCCCTATTATCTGATCCAACAAGAAGGCAATGAATTAGGACGGCTAACATTAATCATTCATAATCCTATCATGTTTTATAATGGAAACCACAACCAGACTGGGAGACTATCAACCTCAGTGACCCCCAGCGGAGTGGGAGGGATGACTTGCTTTCAGGTTGCGTTCCAAATGGCACCCTATTCCCTTTATAGTGCCTAATTTTGACCAGAGCGCTATGGGCCCTGATAAAAAGTAGTGCACTACTTAGGGAATGGGGTGCCATTTGGGACAAAGCCTCTGATTTATGATTAGCCTACAGTGTGCTGTGCTAAAATGATATAATTTGTGTGGTCCTTCATAAACCACACTGTCGCTATAGTAGTGTCTCAGACTACTGTAGCATAAAGGCATTTCTATGTTAAAAAATACTAATAAATAAAAATTCATAGGAGCACATGAAATTGTGTCAAATGAAAGCTATGAGTCCATATTTTTTTATATTAAGGCATATATACATTTCTCAACCATTTTCCATCCTAAACATTAGGAATGTGCAAAGGCTTTGATTTGTGGTCAAACAGATGGAAAATAGGTCTTACAAAACATCTAGCAGAAAAGGTCTTAAAAGGTACTAGCAATACATCAAAACACAATAATGTTGAAGTAAAGACCATGCCAACATTTATATTTAGTTATGCAGAAATGATTTGCCTTCTGTAAATTTAAGTACCGTATTTTCCGCACTATAAAGGCACACCGGAGTATAAGCCGCAGCAGCTAAATTGAATGATATTGAATGATGTGTACATATATAAGCCGCACTGGACTATAAGCAGTTGTTTTAATGTTTAATTACCATATGTAAGGGTTCGTGCACAGAGGGGATTGTCGGGAAAGAGACAAACTGTCTCGCTCTCGTAATGTCTGTCTGTCTTGCTCTCGTTCTGTCTCTCGTACCACTCTCGGTTCCACTTTTACTTTTGCGCGCTACCTGTCTCACTCTTTTCCGGCCTCCAGCTTTTCCTGCTGGAGCCCGCCGCTTAAAGGTGGGGGGCGCGGACCGGTCATAGAGCCCATAGAGTTAAAGTTGGTGGACTGTAACCTGTAAAATCCATAGATTTAGGAGGTCTTCTAGTGGCCGTTAGCTGTAAAAATCCATAGATTAGCCGCACCGTTATATAAGCCGCAGGGTCGAAAAATGGGAAAAAAGGCGTGGCTTATAGTCAGAAAATTACGGTAATATTGCCTAGTGTCTTGTCATTCTGTTACCAAAAACCCACATATCTTTAAGATATTTTCTAATCACTCCCTCATGAGGAGGGAGGATAATGAAAGTTCACAGAAGTAACAAGTAAAGGTATACCTACCAATTAGTTATAGGGTTTTTACTGATAACAATTTGGTTTATGATTTATTAAGTGATTAAAACACGTCATTCTGTTAATCCAAATCGCTAACAGGATGTCAAGCAAGGAAAGTTAGCGTACAAAGCTGGAAGCTACCGGTATCTTCTTGCATTGCAAAGTGTTTCAGCCTGTAATGGACATTGTTTTGAGAACAGTTATTAACAGTTGCATAATTTCTACATGCCATTTTCCATTATTCAAGTGTGCAGCCCAGACTCCCAGTGAGTGAGGACAGGCTAGAGCTAGCAATGGGTAAGTGGAGCAGGCACGGTGCTCTCGCGCTACAAGGGGACAGCGGCTGCGCTGATAGACAGAATTGATCCTATTTCAATCAGTAGACGACGTGAGACACATTTGACAGAAGTACCGAACCGTTTTTTAGGTTCTAGTACCGAAAAAGTCCAGAAGTTTCTGTATACCGTGCAACACTATACTGTGTAGAGTACTGTATAATTTATTGTATTGTACTCTACTGCACTTCACTGTAATCAACTATACTCTGCTGTGCTGTACTGTGATGTCCAAACTTGTGAAATATTGACATTATGATTGGTACAGATTTGGTCCGGTCCAACAAAATGTGGTCTTGTTTGGAGCAGAGCTCATTAGAATAATAGCCATTGTGTGGAATAATACCCAAACATGCAAAGGAGGATATTACATTGTTCTACCTTTGTGTACCTATTCAGGATACATCACCATGAAAAAACTGATATTCATAATTATTCATTTCTCTATAGTACAGATCAGAGACCCATGATGTCATTCTGTTACCATCATTCTGTTACCGGGTGTTAATCCACTTCACTTACTTTAGTTCAATAAACAAAATCGATTTTTTCAAACTCAAGGTGTCATATAATAGCTGACACCCCATTCTTTCTGCAAACATCTTTCAATCTTAATTCGGAGTATTAATTAATTTAGAGTATTAAGTATTAATTAATTAACAGTTTTTTGAATATGTGGTCACATAAAAATTGAGGGAGATTTTAACATTCACTCAGTTACCAAACTTCAATATCAAATATATTTTGATTTGTTTAACACTTTTTTGGTTACTACATGATTCCATATGTGTTATTTCATAGTTTTGATGTCTTCACTATTATTCTACAATGTAAATTATTTTAGAAAACCCCTTGAATGAGTCGGTGTGTCCAACTTTTGAGTAGTGTATATATATACACACACACACACACACACAGTTGAAGTCGGAAGTTTACAGTGGGGAAAAAAAGTATTTAGTCAGCCACCAATTGTGCAAGTTCTCCCACTTAAAAAGATGAGAGGCCTGTAATTTTCATCATAGGTACACGTCAACTATGACAGACAAATTGAGAAAAATTCCAGAAAATCACATTGTAGGATTTTTAATGAATTTATTTGCAAATTATGAACCAGACTTGTGGAGGTCTACAATTATTTTTCTGAGGTCTTGGCTGATTTCTTTTGATTTTCCCATGATGTCAAGCAAAGAGGCACTGAGTTTGAAGGTAGGTCTTGAAATACATCCACAGGTACACCTCCAATTGACTCAAATGATGTCAATTAGCCTATCAGAAGCTTCTAATGCCATGACATCATTGTCTGGAATTTTCCAAGCTGTTTAAAGGCACAGTCAACTTAGTGTATGTAAACTTCTGACCCACTGGAATTGTGATACAGTGAATTATAAGTGAAATAATCTGTCTATAAACAATTGTTGGAAAAATTACTTGTGTCATGCACAAAGTAGATGTCCTAACCGACTTGCCAAAACTATAGTTTGTTAACAATAAATTTGTGGAGTGGTTGAAAAACGAGTTTTAATGACTCCAACCTAAGTGTATGTAAACTTCTGACTTCAACTGTATATACCCTTTTCATATTTTTTACTTTCTTTGCATTCAGGCCCACTGGGAAGGGGTGGTATGGAGAAGGTCGCTGGGAGGGGGAGGTTGACAAGCAACCTTGGATGTTTAGTCGGATGGGGGACTTGGTGGGGGTTGGACAGATAGAGATATATGGGGGGTGGGGAGTGACAACCAACCTGTGTTGCTAGGCGGGGTGGGAAGGGGTGGAAAACATGGGGGGAGTTGGGGGTGTAGGCACTTTTTGTTTATTTTTCTTTAAACACCAAGTTTATTATTACAAAATCCTGTGAGATCAATATGATCATTGCTCTGTATGTATTTTTTATTTTTGTTTTTCTTTTGAGTGGCAGCCCACAGGTACATGTTATATAAACTGAACATATGAATCGGTATGAATATTGTACTTGTAAGACCCCAACAAAAAATGACAAAACAAAATAAAAACTTGGTCACCTACAAAAGTACATAAACTAACGTCCAGTCTTCCGTTTAAGAGTTACAGCTATTAGGTGCATAATCCATCATTATGACAAGCTGTTTTAACACTTGTCTCTGGCTGCTTCCCAGACAACACTAAAAGATAACATCAACTCTAATTTGACATGTTTATCTAGCTAGGTTATCATGATTTATCTAAGCAACGATGTTCTAATTGGTGGGAGAGTAGAAGTAGCTATAGCCATTTCATGGTTCTTTTTTTCTGAAGGAAAAATCTATTCACATAACATTCCAGAGAAGAGTAAAATAATGTATGCACTCACTACTGTAAGTCGCTCTGGATAAGAGGGTCTGCTAAATGACTAAAATGTAAATGTAAAAAGTTACGCCTATAGGCTAATTGTCTCATGAAGTGCTTCTCTCTCTGTGTGTGTGTGTGTGTGTGTATGTGTGTGTATAAACGTATGACACACAAGGTAGGTTCAAACTAACATTTCAAATAACCAGCACAAACAGCTTAGATTATTTATTTTTTACATTACATTCATAAAATAGTAATGAGCACCAGAAGCTGCTAACCAAAAGCTACC